TCTTTCTCAAAAAATAAAATAAATTTTAAATACTTTTATATTAACATTGTAATAATAAAAATTATCTTGAAGAATTAATAATATCCTTAATTTTGTTTTTATTTTCCTGATTTTTTTGAAGAATCACGAAAAAGGCTTATATAATACTAAGGAAAGGAATAAATATAATAACGAAATCACAAAGCTAAATTCCATTATTCAACATTTTTTTCATTTTTTTTTACCATAGGCAGATTTAGGTTTCTTTTAAAAAGGAAAAAAAATTATACAGTAGCGCGTATGATAATAGGTAAAATATGAGTGTCTCCGATGTTTTGAAATATTTTTCTTAATTTTAAAAAAAGTATTCATTGATGAATAATATTTTCAATTGTATTTATATAAAAGAAACTATTTACTTGTATAATTTTATTAAAAAATTTTGCTGAGGTATTATATTATTAGCATTAAATTTAAAAAAAGAAAACCAGATAAATATATATATTATAACTTGGAATCAGTCAATACTTCATACAATAATTAATATAAAATGGAATTTCTATATTTCTTAATGAAATTACAAACATAATCCTATATGTATATATTATTACCAAAAAATACGAATCAAAAGGAATATTTTCATTATTCCTATTTTCTAATGGAACAATTATAGTGTTCGTACGAATTGAATAATCCCTTACTCGTATTTATTCATACTAACAACATTATTCAATTTGATTCGTCGAACAAATAATCTTTAAAATGAAAAAACAATGGATGAATAAATTTAAATAAGTGATTTATAGATGGTGGAAAATAGTGTTGTTAAACGGCTCGATTTTTAAAAATGACTGAACCAATATTTTAGCCCAAATATATTATTCAGGCCTGGGGATTTTGCTCATAAATGATAGAAAAATTTAGACATCTATTAACGAAATCTCGAGGCTTGCGTAATATTATTTTGGCTAAAATCGCAAATTAAAATTGATAAAATAAGAACCGTTTGACAACACTAGTGGAGAAAAGTTCTGCAGGAACATGTTAAAAAGATTAATTCGAAATATTTATGAATAATTTGGAATATTTACAAATAATTCAAATAATACGAATAATAGACAAAACGCCATATAATATATTTCCCTTATTCGTATTCTATTCGAATTTTCGAATAATTCATTTTGAGCATAATGTATAAGAAGTAAATAAATTAGTAAACTAAAAAAAATAGAAGGAAAATCTAACCTTATTCAATGCATAATTTAGGTGACTAAACTAGTTTTGTGGTACCTTTGCACCGGCCATTATTTAATAAAAAATACGCCTAACTCGATACGAGATATTCAGCGGGGGGTTTCCTTTTTTTAAAAAAAAAGCCTAGCATTCTTTAGTCGATGGAATTCGATAAAAATCCCATTCGTCAGTTTTTAAATTTGAGAAAAATCCAGATGCGGGATACACGAATCCTTTCGTCTAAGTTCGAGGCGATAATTTATTAATTGATCAATTTAAACTTAATTACCATTTTTTCTACTTGTCCACTTCTACATTACATTTAAAGTATTTTATTGTTTCCACAATATTAATCTTATCCCGACAAACTATTTTAGAAGCATGAGCTATATACACAGATTGATAAGGCTGTTGTGAGAACCAAAGAATTGATTTTAGCGTATAAAAATAATTAAATTATATATGGGATCTCTGTATCACCCTAATCGACAGCCCAGGCTATCGGCCTCTACTGTCGCTTTTCAAAAGGTAGACTACCCAGGCACTATGCCATCAATCCGATCATCAATAGAACGCAGAGAGCTACAAATAATCCTTCCTCACTGGAACCCTCTTGCTTCAGCATAAACAAAACCCGTTGTGTGACTCTACTCCCTTGAAACCAAGGTATTCACCTTCCTTAGAATTATGATTGTATAGATCATTTTGACAAATCCTTTTCTTTCAACTCTATCGTGAGAGCAAAAATATCTAAAAACCAATAAATACAGCCATCTAAACAATCTATTGTTTGTTCCGGCAGTTTCAAACACCTGTGGTTTATTTAGACCTCAAGCCCTCAGTTTATTCAAAACAATGGGGTAAAAGGTACATATCACAGGATCATAGGTGATATAAAAAAGGGTTATTACTTACGGAAATAATATATCAAAATTTGCCGATTTAATTGTATTTCTATGCATGGATCATTAAGTCCTACCGTTTTAACTTAAATAGTTTTTGTTTTTAAAAAAAAATATTGTAGGGGAGACAGGGGATAGTGTTATCTCAGGGCAATAATTTCTTCTCAAATAATCTTAAAACTAATAAACTTCGGCATTTGAAATTTAAACCATAAATGCATTTTAATACCATGCTTTTCTAAAAATGCATTTTTACTAATAAATCTTTTTATAAAAGTTACTCAGGCTAAATATCGATTCTAAATGATTAAGTAATCTTAATTTTATCAAATATTAATAATATTTATGATAATTTAATATCGTGAGATAATTAATAAAATGTGAGGACCTGGGGCAGATTTTGGCGGAGTGCGTGTTAGCCATTTTTAAGCACTGATCAACTTTGAATTACTAATATTTATAAGAACACTAGAATCTTGTCTAGGGTTATAAATAGCAATTTTTTGTAAATTAATTATTGTTTGAACTAACAACAAGTTCTTCCGGATGATATTTATATGTACATTTCATATATTTGACAATGTATTTCCGTTTATTTACTTCGGACCTAACATTTTAATATAAAATTTTTAAATCTAAAAATAAAGAAGCTCTATAACATGCACCGCGAAAGAGCAAAAGGTACCCTAGGTGTTTTTCATAATTTTAAAATTTTCATTTTTTAAAATTTTCATTTTTTAAAATTTTCATTTTTTAAAATTTTCATTTTTTAAAATTTTCATTTTTTAAAATTTTCATTTTTTAAAATTTAATATTTAAAAACTAAATGTTTTTTTTTCTTAAATATTAATTTCTAGAATAAAACTACGTTTATATATTTTGGAATTTATTCATTTATTTTTTATAGCACTTCATTTTTTATGGACAATATAACCCCAATCACCCTTATATATATTTTGAATAAGTATTTTTTTTTTTAAACTTGTTAATTTTAATGTTATTTTAAAAAATAAAATTTTATAAAAAAATATTTTTTTGCCTCTATTAAAAGATTTATCTATTTTTCAAAAAAATTTAAAATCATAACTTCTGATCATTGTCATCATAAAATTTGAAATTACTTTGTTAACGGCTCTTTTAACCTCAGAAAAATAGCCCCACCCCTAACTATCCACACAATTTTATTTTCAGATTTAATAATCTTTTTTGTTCCAAATAAATTGATATTTTATAGCTTTTTCTGCTATTCCCGTTAAACTAAGACTGTAAACCCTCGTTCTAAAATAGACTTATGGGCTTATCGGGTTCGAGTTAGAGCTCGGAGTCAATAAAAATAAGGATTTATAAAATTTAATCAAAATAAGAGAAAAATTTCTTAAAAATTATTTGAAATTTCATCAAATTATAATTCGAATAACACAAGAATATTGTATTTTAAAAATTTTAAGAAATAAAGAAAGATCGAAAATTATCAACGATTTGTGAATCTATTTGTAATGTGAACCTTTTTTTCCTTATACAAATTCTTTGACCGAATCTGGCGAAGATATTTCTTAATATTTTTATAGTGCTTTCCGTGGTTGTTCCTTTCTTTCTTACTTTCTTTCTTTCATATGATATCTTTCAAAATATAATCAATAAGAGAATAAATAAAAAAATTTACTGAACCTTAAAACTTAAATTTTAAAAAAGGGATCAGTGTTTGGTTCGGGTTCAAAAATCTCGAGGGTGTGGGTTCTTAGTCCCGCCATTAACCAAATGTTAACATTTAACTTGTTTATATATCATTTAACTCCATTTTTTTATTTGTACCCTTTTTCCTGTTAAAATTGAAATTTATTCTTTTAAATAACAAGATCATGCATATTCCTAAACGTAACTTTAAAAAAATGTAGAATTACAATAATTTCAAAGATAAATAACATACAATTCTTCCCAGGTCAAGTGCTTACTTTAAATAAATTTGTATAGCTTTAAATAAATTTTAAATAAAAATCATTTATAATTATTACATAGTAAAAAAAATGTAACCAAAGAAAATTTAAGAAACTAAAACAAGAAATTCAAATGAATATTTATTAAAAGATTTCAAGTCATTATTAACACTTTTAAATTCAAAATTATTATATAATTCATGACGCTCTTAGCCTTATAATCGATGATAACTTTTAATTCAATTTTTTTATTATCCACATTTTTTATAGCTCAATCAATTAAGGTTAAATTTAGGATTTCCTTTTTAAAAAATAAAAAAATTTTTGTTTTTTAAAAAATATTTATTAATGTTTTTTTTGAAATCGATACATTCTATATAATAATAATCTAAGAGAAAAATAATGTATTAGAATGGATTTAAATGTTATAATATATTATATGTCCGGAGTCCTGAGATCCAAGTCATGATCAAAGAGTTATAATATGCATAGACTGATCATCATTAAGTAAAAAAATGATCAATTAGAAGCCATACTAGTTTGTCCTATGCACTTATTGTAATAGAGGAATAGAGGAACAAAAAATTTTTCCAATAAAAACGTACGTAAATGACTCGCGCTTTTCCTGTTACAATATGCATATATTTAGAAAAAATACGCAGGCCTTAGGATTTCGCTCAGGGTAGATTGCAGAAAGTTTTGGACACCCCTTAGTTAAATCGAGGCTTAGGCAATATATTGGCTAAAATATTCAGTTAGTTTTTTAAAATCGGCTCAAATTGAGCCGTTTAACTACACTATAAGAAACTATTATAGCCTTTGATGCATTTTTTGTCATGATCGTATAAGTCTTTGGTACCGAAATTAGTAGGTTGAGCTCGGCCTGAATTGTTTTCTAATTTATTTTCTCTTATGAAGATTATTACATTCGATTTTACAATGCAAACGGTTAATGAATAATGTTGGAATATTTGTTTCAGGTTTAGGAGGACCGAGGAAGCAAAGAAGAGAAAGAACGACGTTTACCAGAGCTCAGTTGGATATCTTGGAATCACTTTTTCAGAAAACAAGGTATCCCGATATCTTTATGAGGGAAGAGGTGGCGCTAAAGATAAATTTACCTGAGTCACGTGTTCAAGTAATAATATCATTCGTATGAGAGATAATTATCGGGCTCTCTATTTATTTTTACATCATACAGATTAAGAAGTAGATAAGTCAAAAAAAATTCAAATTTTATATACTCATTCAATTAAACTTTAAATAAATTAACCCTAGCCATGTCATAAAAACTATACCTAACCCACATAAATAACAATTTAAGTGGCCAATTTTTTATTTATTTATTTAGGTTTAGTGATAAATATATCTCATCTTTAAACTGGTTTATTTATGATTAATTATCTTTAATTGATAGAGCCATCTAACTTTAATTTATCATTATCCCTTTAATCCAAAGGTATGGTTTAAAAATCGGCGAGCCAAATGCAGACAAAACCAACAACAATCCTCATTATCTATGAATAACAACACATCAATTCATAATAACCATTATTCTTCGATACCTACTAACGATTTGAACAATAGTTCACAAAACTCCAAGGTTACAGCCAATTACATGCATAGTAACAAAGCGTCTATGTCGATTCTTAACGACGAAGACAAACACAATTCCCCCATTTATAATACCTCTATTTCCACGCAATATAAACACAATCATTTTAGCCCTACCACCAACGATAACAGTCATATGAACAACCTCAGACGATCCACCATGTTATCAACCCCTTCGACAACTTCTTATCCTTCTTCTTATTCCTTAGATTCCGAGACAGTTCATACCGACCGGATTCGCAAAATGTATATGAACATATGCAATCAGGAAAATAATAGTTTAGTACTCAAAAATAGGCTAACTTCGACTTGCAAAAATGAGCATCGATCTATCACGAATAAACCAGAGAGTTACTCTTTCAGTTCTCCCGAAAAGAGTTTTGATAACGAATACACAACCGAGAGAAAAAGGGTTGATATCAGGGAGGACTATTATGAAAGACAGACAACTAATAATAGTAGATCGGCCGTTTTTCTCAACGAAGTTGTGAGTTTAGATCAAAATCCCGATTATAGCAAAGAAAGAAATCGTTATAATTATAACGATGTACCAAGGCATTATGGACACCCTAACTCTTATAATAACCAAATAGCTTCTGAACACGATAAAAGTATGAAAACGGATTCTTATACGATGAAGTATTATGAAGATTGTAACAATGATAATCAAATTGTAGCGGTAAACGATGGGGCAGATCGTACTGATTCATTTCAACCCGTGTGTAGAAACGAAATCGATATTAAACCCGATAAAATTTTCAAAGAAGGTCCACCCGATCATACTTTAAGCGAGATTTCAAGGGCCTACAATTATAATAACCCCAACACTATCAGTGACACAGTTAGCGGCGTTCATTCTTTTAACCGGTATGACTATGCCTTTAATTATAGCACCTACGGATATGGATATGCCCCAAATTATCCTAGCCATCCTCACCATCCAACTAATTTTAATTCTTCTTACATTATAGGTTCCGATCCATTCCCCAATAATCACTTATTCGTCGCGGGATCCCCAAATCCTCAACATTTTTTGAGCCATCAAGCAGGACCACACGCTTTCACTTATCCCTTTAATTACGCGCAAGAGAAACCTTACTTTAATTTGAATCGCGGGGGAGTTGAGTCTAATTTAGACTTTGGCCACATACTAGCTCAACAGTACAATTGCAATCACGGAAATATGAATAACGTAAACAATGACACGAGCAGATATCTAAGTGAAACTCTAGATACCCCTCCATCAGTTCCTGATGTAGATGCCGCATCCTCAACATCTATAAAAATAGAAATGACTCACAGTTTGTCGAATGATAATTTAAAAGGACCTAAAACTATGTACAACTATTGCGATTCAATAATTAAAGCGGAAGAAAAAGCAATATAAATCCTTCTTTAAATGATAAAATTAAAATATCTGTTTAAGTGAAATGAAAATGTGACATTGGCTTCATAATGACACTAGTAGACCACACATGTCGCGTACTCCATATTAAAATTTAATAGATCATTTAAAAAATATAACATCCGCGTTACAATGTGTGACCTATTGGATTAATTTATTTATATGATTAGCAACAAGTTTTAATGGACCTATGTTTGTGAATCGATCAATTTTATTTATACTCTTACGCCATTGTAACATTTGATACAATTTATAGAATGAGTTTTATTAAGCCTAATATATTTTATATAATTATTTGTGTTTTAACTATTATATAAATAATAAATCAAATGCTAATAATAGTTTCAAAGTTGGTAAAATTCATAACTTGTTTAAAACTTATAAGTGTGAGTATTTTTTTTAAAATTAATCATTTTTTTGTTTGTTCAACATAATATTCCGGTAGGAAGGAGACTGATTAGAATTTATCGAAATTCATTGTATTTTAAATATATTTGTACCTCTAGTGAGTTAGAATATTATTTACTAACCATTATTTTATTTATTATGCATTACATTGGTTAATATGATGGGTTATAATATTATTAGTTTAAAAAAAATATGTATTCTTTGTCATTCTGAATGTTTTAGATAATCCAGCACAAGAAAATGAACTTTGAGGCGGTTATCTTCAGTGGTTGAGTTGTAATGTATTTTAACATCGGAGTACTTTATTTCACTGACATCGTATTTAGATTCTAAACTTGAGAAAGAATTTTTCCATCGACTAGTGTTGTATTCACTACGAGGAAAATATTTGCCTGGCGGATTATTATAGTAGAGGCCTATGATAGGTTTAAAGAATTCTACTTTTTTAATGACAAACGGAGATTGTATATCGCTAATTCGTTCTTTCATGTTCGAGGCTGGAGAAATTTTAGAAAATAAAAATTAAAAGCAATAGTTATAGTTACAAAGTAACAAATTGGATCACTAATATTAGGTTTGAACAAAACATATCATATAATGTAGTTAGGAAATCCATTTAATTAGTTAATTGGAATTAAATCTTTTTATAGGTTATAATTTAGCAAAAATATAGTTACAATAAAATTATTTCTATTAAAAGGCCAACATGGTCTAATATTTCAAATATGCTCCCACATAATAAAGTTTGGATTAACAAATTAGAAGAAAAAAACTATTGTATGGCATTTTAAATTACCCTGTGAAGCGACTTCCAGAATCAAAGTGCTTTGATTACTCATTTGTTTAGTCGTGCTTAAGTTCATTCTCAAATGAAGGTGGTTAACATGATCAAACGTAAAATCGTTTTCGGCTATATTTTGCGATAATGGAATCGTTGGTAGAATGTAATCCCGAAATTCTATTTCAGATACATTTCTGGGGGAGTGTGATGATAATCCTCTTGTTCCATCTTTTTTTATAGTATTTATATCATCGTTCATTCTCGACTGGTCCAAGGTATCTGTGTTTGGTCGTTGCCACAAAAATGGTTTGTAATCGTTTTCCAGTGGAACGCGCATTTTGTAATTCGGCAAGCTATACTTGTGTACCATATCTTTGATAAACTTGTGCATCGTGAGTTTGGACGAAACTTCGGTGATGTTAACGTTCGTCACATTTGATAAGGAGTTGTTAGGAATGAGTCTGTGAAGTACGATCCTGAGCATTTCATTATCAGTGTCATTTTTTATGACAGGGTTGTAAGGGGGGCTCAATAGAGAGCCATAACCCAGTAGATGGTAAGTCATTAATTTGTGCAAAAATTTTATGTAGTTTAATCTATCCTGTAGTTTGGAATCGGTTTGATGTTGGAGATGATATTTTTCAAGAAGTTCCCGATATTCATCGGTTATATTCAACGTGTTATTTTGCGATCCCCGCATTTTTAGGTTTTCTAACAGATTTTTGAGGTAATAGGGATATTGAAATGCATGGAACTTACGTCTGAAAACTGGCGCATCAGCGACGTCATCATCATAGGAAAAAACCATTAAGTTCGTGATTGCGAATAACGCCAAAAAAACAAGGGACATTTATTTATAAAGGCCATAACATGATCCTTTGAATTTCGAAAAAAATTTGGCAACATAAAGGTTTCGTGTAAATTTAAAAATATAAAGATAATGTCATTTTAGTAAAATATTCATAAATTATTTATTAATGTTCTATTCTTATTTTATTATTTTTAACATTCTAACAATTTAGTGAAGCTATAAAGATTAAATCAATCTTAAAAAGAATTTTTTTTTAATGCTTTTATAAGATCGTCGTTTAGCATAGCGTTTTACTTCATTTAGAATCAAAATTGATTTAGGGTTAGAATCGTGGAGAAAACAGGGAATGGTATTAAACTGCGACTCGCACAAATACTTTATTGTTAAAATACTTAACTATGGTGGTTGATTTTTCCAATCACCGAATACAATATGTTGCATAAAAAAATATAAAATCTTGATTTTCATGCAAAATATATATTTTTATACTTTTTAAAGTTTTACATTTAAATATTTATATTACAATAATAGGCTTAATAAATTGGTATAGAAAAATATTTATTTCATCATATAACATTTTATTCGCATTTATAGAATTCTAGGTCAATCCAGAAAAAAAGCAAAAATTTTTAATTTCTTTCTAAATGTTTATCAGATATAGCATAAGGTTTTTAATAAAAATAATTTAAAAACCCTCCGATGCTAAACAATCCGAGAGCGTATCTAGCATAGTGCTCGATTTGAAATTTATAGGGTAGATATTTTACACAATGTTGTAATATATTTTTCGGGAAATCCAAATTTTTTTAATATAAAGCGCTAAATTAACTAATGATTTTAAAAGTTTTGAAAATAGAAAAATTGAGGATTTTATTTTGAAGAAAATGTTATTACACGAATTGACAAACGTTAATCAGGAGTAGTGCTGTTAAAGGGCTTGATTTGAGCCGATTTTTAAAAACGGCTGGATTACGCATCTTGCTTACGCAAATTGCGGGTAAAAAATAAATTCGATATTATTAATTTCTTCCAAGTAAAAAATATAAAATGTTCTGTATAAATTATTACAAGACCTTTTTTAATTTGATATTTTAGCTTAGAATTGAACATCATATAGGTCGAGTATCACAAATTTAAGAAATTTGCTGTACTGCAAACTTCGGACAAAATGTAAATAATTTTTTATTAAATTCTGAACGGATACAAAAATAAATAAATAATTATTTAATAATTTTCAAGAAAGTCTTTCATTCTAAAACATGGTCATTAAATAGTGTAATATATAAATTATAATAATTTGTCTATTTTTTTTTGATTGGAAGCATATTTCGCAAAATTCTTAGAACATGGTCTGTATATTGGACCCCGATATAAGGAATATTCTGGAGGTTTAAAAAATGTTCAATAATCAATGTCTTGGCCATCGAAATGATCGTATTCCCCATCATCACCTCTCATTTGTGCGAGGAGTTGAGCCGCGCTCAACATACTAGGGTTGATCTGGTGCTCATCTTCCGATAACAATTCTTCGTCTTCCTCTTCCTCCTCTATCAACATCACAGATTTGTCCTCCAAAGATAATATTTCCTTTTTTTTAGACATGCGCTCATCTATCATGACAACATCCTCGGCAGCTTCGGCGTGCTTTGTGTTTTGATTACATGTATTTTTATAGGGTTTATGTTTAGCATCATTGTCATGTGATTTCTTGAAATCGACGAATAGGTAATCATCGGCATCGAGCTTTCGCTTAAAATCACTATCCCCACAAACATTCAAATTAGACGTGTAACAACTATCCTTGACGTTTTCTACCTTATTTACGTCATCATCCTCTTTCCTTTTATTAGCAAGGATGGAGTTTTGTAAATAATCCTCTATGATCTCGTTATTATCGTCATTTTTCAGGGCTAATAATGTTTCTTTTGTGCATATGGAATTTATTTCACTCACTTCCTCCTTAGACTCCGCGTCTTTCAAAGCTTCTATGGTATTCCACAGAGTACGGTCGGCAAGATGGGATCCCTTGAAACCCAGGCCCTTTAAAACGTCGTAATTGATTTTGCTACTGACTTTTTTGCCTCTGAATATCCTCTGCCCGGCTTCAGCTCCGGGCTTGAGGTTACCTGCAGCCGATAAAATGTTCTTAACATCTTTTGATAATTTTAATTCCGAGGTAACAGTTGTCTGGATGGAATTGATGCTAGCTTGCTTAGCTTCTCTTTGTTTCATGAATTCGCCGTATTCGTTCTCCCAAATGAGGGTCCTTAAAATGACTTCATCGGGAGACATCAATAAACCATCTAATTCTTCGTCATCTATACCAGTCAGGTCTAATAGATCTTGTTCGTCTTCCTTTACAATGGATTGGGGGTCGCTTGATTTATTGATATAAAAAAAAAGAAGCTTATTAGTCAAATGAATGTTCTGCTTTTATATAAAATTTAACATATGCTTACAAATGATATAAACTTAAAAAAATGTTTCAATTGCCCATTTAAAAAATATATACTTTAATTCAGGTTCTACTTCTGCTATATCTCCACTATTCAACGATTTTTCAAATGGATTTACAAATTGTGATCTATCATCTCCCCTAGTCGAAATTAGATCTAAACTTTCAATAGTGGGCAGGTATTTCAATCCTAAAACTTTTCCACCACTATTCAGAAGTTTATTTTCATTATTCTTAATTAGATCAGACGTTTGACTCTCTGCCATTTTGAAGGTATCTTCATCGGTTTCACTATTAATATGATCACTAATATCCTGGTTATTTTCACCATTTGGCTCATTTTGATCTTCGGAATTTATATTTTTGGGTTCGTTGTCTTGCGCTTTGATGAGATTCCCTATAATTTGCGTATTTATGAGTTCGTAGGCCGCTGATGTTTCATCGAAGGTGGATATCATGTCGTCATCTTTGAGCGAATAAATATATCAAGAATTTTATTTAAAAGATTAGGTAACTCTATTACTAAACATTAGATAAATTTTTTTACTAATTATACAGGCCCGTAACTCATTGGAAGGGAAGGAGTTCATAAATTTAACCTCCCCTCAAAAAAATGTTTTATAAAGTTAAATAAAATGTATTTTAATCAAAATTGTTTGGGTATATATCTGTACCCAAACAATTTAGCTGTATCTGCATTTAATTGATAGAAGGCAACTTTGAAAATATTTTAATTATACGTTGTCAATTACATTTGTTTGTGTATTAATTAAGTCTATACGTATAGGTTTTAAGGATAATAGTATAAAAAAATGTGTTTTTCTTTATAATTACATTTAAAAAGTTCGAACAGAGTTTTAAAGGTTCAAACCGAACCGATATTAATATTTTTATGAACCGAACTTGAACTGATATTATTTATGGTTAGGATGGATGAAGAAAATATGGTAATTGATTTGGTATTAGTAAATAATAATCTTTACATATTATAAAATTTTTAGAGGATTAATGATACTGACATAGAAGAAATGAGTAAACACGGTATCAGCAAAGCGCTTTATAGATCTGAAGAGAGCTTTTGATAGGATCCTGCGTGAAGTAACTTAATGGACTTTGAAAAAATTAGGTGAAGAGGGGTGGTTGGTTATAGCTGTGATGGCAATGTATGAGGATGATCGAACGGTTGTTAGAACAGATGATGGTAATAGCAAAACCTTTGAAGTAAAGGTTGCTACATCAAGGATCAATTTAAGGCCATTATTATTTATCATAGTAATGGAGGTTATGAAGAGAGGAACGTGGAGAACTATTTTGGGCGCTTCTGTATGCTTACGAACTTGTAGCGCTATGGTATTAAAGTATAAGATAATAGATGTTTAATGACATATCAAAATGTATTAATACTGATTGGGACACAACTATGAAGGAGCACTATGTAGCAAATCTTGAGTGTCATATAAAAAGAAACTACTCTATAGAACTCAATAAAATTAACAAAATATCACAACAAATAAAATAGATAATCAGAATGTAGGTTTGTATACAAAAATGTTCAAACCGGTTTTTAGAGGTTCGAGCCGAACAGATATTTTTCCTGAACCGAAACCGATATTCGCTGCAGTTTAGATCCCTTTAAATATTGGTATTGGAGCTTCTCTGTAAAAGTGGGAAAGTTTTATTATTTGGGCGACGTGCTGAACGCTGGAGATGTTGATTCCAGGGATCCAAACCAAACGAATATCGTTTCGGTCAAGGTTAAAGTTGGATAATAATAACGGTTCAAGGTTCAGTTTGTAAAAAATAAAAATATAGGTTCGGTTCTACCTCTTAAAACCTGTTTGAACACTTTTGTATTCAAACCTACATGCGAATTATGTATAAGGAAGAATATATTTTTTTATTTCATCATTAAAATAAAAAACACATATATAAACCTTCATTTTTATTAATTGTACATTATAAAATAATATTTAATTTATAAATATAACAAATAAATATTAAATATTAATTTTAATATGAACAATTAAATTTACTTAATTTTTTTTTATTAAGCCGCACAATTAATATATTTTCAAGATTCGTTTCACTCAAATTACATCTATAAGGAGATAGTATAAATTTAATTGTTGAAAAACATCTTTCGACACTAACTTGGATAGCCGGCACTGCCAGTAAGATATCATACAATTTACATAATTCTGGGTATCGATTACTCTGATTTCTTCAATAGTCTAAAATATTCATATTTTTATTTAACCTAGGTTCTTTAGAAAAATTAACAAAAAAATTTATAATATTCTAGGATTGTTTTAACAGATTTTGTTTGTTTACCATCTTTTTTTTGTAAAAGACTTTCTACTAAATCCTCTTCAGATGAAAATACATTAACTGGCATTGATTTACCTTCACTAGAATCCTCTACTCTTATAACAAAGTTTAATTCCATGTTATACCATATTTTAATAATATGCTCTCTAGCCTTGGTTTTTTATTCTTCAGTCAGAAGCACTTGATATCAATAGGGGAAATGTGCCATGAATGGCCATGTATGATACTTTATGAGCTAAATGAGATTATGTGAAAGTTGTTTTTACTATGTATTGACTGGCCATATACTATGTGTTAACTGGTCATAATATATTATTTAAGAATTTTATTATAAATATGAAATACTTGTAAATTACCTATGTTAATGTTTCTACATTTTTTAGTTGTATAAAAAATTAATTATACACTAATTTAATTAGTATTAAAATCTCAATTTATTACCACATCTATTTAATGATAATATTATAAATTAATATTTTAATTATCATTTTACTAAACATTCTTAAGCTTGTTCATCATTTTATTGCACCAAATGTTGTTTTGCAAGAGCTTTTCATTTTAAGATGAATATGTGAATATGCGAATTATGGCCAATCTATAGATGGCCAGTCAATACTCACCTCTCTATTATTATTAAGCGCCTTATATGTCTATTAAATAAAGCTTTTAAATTCTAATTTTTTGTGTGAATTATGCTAAATGCCTAAGGATAATATTTATTAAAATATCAGTAATCTAAATTAGTAATTTTTTCACCAAACAAAAAAATGTGCAACGTGATTTTCCAGAAAGAGGTACTAAAAACAGTTTATTTGAAATATTTTTTTATTGAATTGCTCTATTCAATAAATGAACTTAGGTAAGGTACATATCATAAATATACACATTTTGAGAAATTGGTCCAATAGATAAAAAGTTAAAGGGTGGTGGCCAGTCTTCACACATGGCCATTTATGGCACATTTCCCCTATAATAAAAATTTATAAAGTAAAATAAAATTATTAATTAAATTTATATAAGATATAATATAATATTTTTATAGCATACCTTAAATCAGGATATAGGCATCAAAAAGGCATTTTTAATTCATTCAATCTCTCTAGCATATCATAGGTTGATAACCATGTAACAATTCAATATATAAGTCTTTTTAAGTATAATTTTTACAGTATGAATGAAATAGATTTTGTCCTTAGCTTCTTGCATGCAGTACGCGCTTTAATAATAATATAGAAACTGAGTAATTTTTTAATGTATGATCTACCACAAGTTGTAAGGTATAAGAAGCACATCTTATATTTATAATAATATATTGAGAATCATTAAGATTGATTGTTAATTCATCAGGTACATTTGTGAAACTAGTAGAAACATCATTCAAATTATCTATATTGTATTTGTTCTTCTTCATCATTTTCATACATTTGATTGTCATCATCACTATCCTCCATAAATAATTTTACCATCTTAATAAGATTTGTCATATTGTCAGTTGTTATAGTGTATATTTGTGATGGTTTGATTTCATAATCATTTAATACTTTTATTAAAAGAATTTTTAAATTTTCTGCAATAGGCCTTTTAAAATTTCTTTCATTGAGAGGTGTTCTCAGAATAATTTTTGCTTTTTCAATATACTGAAGATTAATTTCAATAATGGACCTATCTAGGCAAGTAAGACAGTCAATTTTAGAGATAATAACTTACCATTTATTTCTTTGATTATATTTTTCCGAATACTTAAGGCTAATTCTGCAACATTAGGTTGAATATTTTGAGAATTAATTTTAATATTACCCATGCCTTCTAATATAGGATCAAGAATTTTTTTGAAACCGCTATCATCGTTTAACTTGAATGGTCTGTATTAAAAGTGGCCAACTCATTAAAAGCATCGATTATTACTTTTTAATTTAGTTTTACTAATATTGTCTGTTCTTTTAATGCTTCTTCTATCGTCTATTGGCTTGATGATATCTTAAGCTTTTTATTTTATTAGGCTTTTGTTGTGATATTTTGTTAATTTTATCGAATTCTAGAGGGTGGTTTCTTCTTATGTGACGCTTAAGATTTGCGCCATGATGGTCTCTCATATTTATTTGACAATCAGTTATTACATATTGATGTGTCATTTATAATACATATGTGAATAATTTATATATTAGATTTAATTTTTCTCTAGACATTATGATTTATAAGCTTAAAATACTTAAAAAATGTTGCAAAATGGTAACATACTAAAGTTTATAAAAATTATCTACACTTATCAACCAAATATGAATGATAATAATTTTTAAAACAATTTGAATATAATTAAAATTTTTGCAATATACTAGTAATAGCATAAAATCATGAGGCTCGAACCGGTTCAGAGGCATTTTAGCGTTCGGTTTAGGTTGGGCAAGAAATTTTTTTAGCGGTTCAGGTACGGTTTGGATCCCTGGTTAATTCTGCAGTTGTTGTAGGGTAAGATATGCAGCGAAGAAGTTTCAAGAGATGCTGTCTGTTCTAAAATATAAGATAAGAATGTATCTAGGAAGCTTATGGGAGTTTATGTAAGTTGTATGAGAAGCTGTATAGTGTTGGTGGCGAAACGTGAGTAATAAAAGTGGCTGAAATTAAATTAAAAAGAACAGATATTAGAATGATCAGATTGAGAAAGAATCGGTATAGAAGCTATTGGAGGTGGTTATAAGAAGAAATAAACTGAGGTGGCTTGGACACGTTGAATGAAAGACACAAGATATTTGGGTTAAGAGATGTATTTTGTTGAAAATAATGGGATCAAGACCTAGAGGAAGATCAACAAAGACGTGGGTGAAAATGATAACTTGTGAGATGGAAACAATGGGTCTTACAAATATCGCCGCCCAGGATTGTAAAGTGGAGAAAGGGGATCGTAGAAGAAAGAAACAGCTTACCTGGATAAACCTGGAAAATAATAAACGATAAAGAAGATTTATGGATTTTGCATTTCATTTATGTAATTTATTTTCGAATAGTATTAATCAATATTAGCTTGAAAAAAATATATCAAAATTTTAAAGTCTAGGATGTTCCATTAAAATTTTAAGAAAAATGAGAGATTTGCAAACCCTTTCCTGATTTTTTACGTTTAAAATAGTCCGGCTCGGCCAGAATCTTTTACGTACAAATTATCCGGCCCGTTATAATTTTTTAAAAAATTTGCCTATCCCAATGCGGACTTTGCTGATTTCGGATATATATTTATTATATCTGTCATCGGTTCTTGAAATAGATCAGTGATTCGGTTTTCATCAGCTCGGGGGCGAAGAAGACAGTGATCTTCTTTACCTCGGTAAAAAGTCCTAATTGGGGGGGGGGGAGTTAAAATACGATAAAATTTTCAATTTATGAAAGTATTTTTATTTTAAAATGAAAATTAAAATACTTTGATTAACAGAAGGAATGTCATTGCAGCTATCTACCGATGACTGATTGGACTTGAAAGAAGTTCTCCTATTTTTCTTATTAACTCTAAGTTCGGTCAACTCTTCTTCGATTTGTTGCTGTAAAGATTTTATCTCTTTCGATACCTCGGCAAACTAAAAAATAATAATATAGAATATCGTTTTTTTAATCGTATATTTAGTTAATAAAGTAAATGGCAAAAGCTCAAACTGCTTGGAGGGGTGAGTTAGGCCACAGCTATAGTAGAGTATTCGGGCGTTTTAAGATAAATTCTCCATAAAGTTGGAAATTTCTAGCGTTCTTAAATTACTTTGTTTTCCTAGTTTTATTTAAAATTTTTAAAACATCTCTATAATTGTTATAAATTTCAATCTTATAAGTTGGTAAATATTTGATATTATATTTATTAATAGATAAAGGGAAAAGGATCTAAAATGGTCAGATAAAGGGGTAAGAGTTGGGCTGTCAAATTTTAACAACATCAACATACTCACTATAAAGAATCTAGTAAATTTTGATTTCACTTTATAGTAATTTTTTTTTCCAAATTTAATTGATTTTACTTGAAAAATATTTAAACATTATTAAAAGTAATTTTATAAAATTATATTAAAAAATTGTTTAAAAATATGATATAAATTCTAAATATATCGTTGAATATCGCATATTAATTATAAATAGATATTCATTAATTTTTGAACAGAATTTTATTTAAAGCTCTATTTTTTTCATAAACATTGGCATTCAAATTTAAATAAGAATAAAGTTCTCTTATATAGAACATTGATAGTTTCGGACTAAGCCAATATGAAATTTTAAATCCGGGCCAATATTTTTTTCAAAGTTTTTGGTTATTTTATGCTTGTAGTATATAATTATATATTTTATTTTATACATAATTTCATAACAATCAAATGAATAAAAGAAACCGAAATTCAATTTATTTGTAATATTTTTTTAAAAAAATCGAATTATTTTAAAAGACAGAATAGCTAAAAATTTGATATTATTTTTTGTAATACTATCCTGCAGAAAAAAATTCAAAAATATTTGTCACATTTAACTAATGTTGTTATTAACGGCTCGATTCAGCTGATTTTAAAAATGGCTAACTCAAGATTTTAGACAAGAAAAATCCCCCAAGCTTGGAGATTTCGCCAACAGATGGCACTATTAGCGAAATTTCGAGGCTCAGGTATAATATTTTGGCTAAAACCTTGATTTCGCCGTTTTTAAAAATCGACCAAATAGAGCTGTTTAGCAACACTGCATTCAGTCATAAACATTGCCTATATTTTGATTGATTAACTTCTAGATTACACAATCATTCGTGAAATATTGGTTTTTTTTGAAGTAAAGAAAGATTCTTACCTTCACTTGATACTTTGCAGGCATTTATCATACCATGAAAAATGCGTCTGTCGTACTGTGTATCTTTTCTTTATTGGCTAAAAAGCCCATCCATATTTCGCCGATTTACCTCTTCTCCAACACTCATTGAAAGACCTCTATTACCTATTCCCAGTTTAATTACTTGATATAATTAATGTAATAGATATCTTTTTTCATTCTATAACCGGGATGATCATATTTCTAAGTCTTAACAATCCTCGGGTATAATTCCTTCAATAACATTTGAATTGCAAGTATTGGTATGCCACATGTTCAATCTTCAAGCTTAATAGTCGAATCAAATTGATTGCTATATTCATAAAATTTTTGATAATATAAAAAATAATCAATATATAAACGCTCGAAATTTCCAATTTTTTAGGAAAATTTTACGTTTGATTTTTTGACTTACTATCTTTTAACATTATCCGCTTAAACGTTGTGCTATGGATATAGAAAGCCAAAGGAATGTATAGTATATATTATATGTAATATGGAAAATATATATTATTTCACTCTTTTTTTTACACCAAATTATAACTCAAATATTCAAAAATAAAAATGTCTATACCATATTTCGAATGTAGTTTTTTTAAAAGAAAGAACTTAAATTTACCTTTAAATTATCCAAAAACTGAGTTTTGGAGTTAGCTTTTGATTTAGCAAATGAAGGGGGATCACATTCTTCTTCTAAATCAATTTCAAAAAATTCGGTCAAAGATAGTGAAGCAGAGGGAGTCGCTGCAAATTCTTTTAACCTAACATAGATCCAATAGAATAATATAATTTCCTATTGGTAAATTTCGAATGATATTTTTTTGATAGCCAGTTATTTTGGAATTGATGGGTTCAGAGATTTTTTAGTAAAAATCTTTAAAATTTGGCTTAAAAAACTCAGCCCAAGTGTGTGCCGATAAAAAAAGAAAAACCGTGAACTAATTTACCCAAACTACTGAAGGAAGGCAATGATAAAGTAATGGTTACTAGCGAATGTTTACTTCATAATTATATTTAAAAATAAAATAGGACTTTTTTAAAATGTTAAGAATGGTCCATGTTTAAGCCTCAGTCATCCCATTTTTTTAAGTGAATTTTCTTTGCTGCTGAAACAAATATTAAACATTTAGTTCCCAGTAAATTCAAATGATGACTTAAGGTTGCAAAGCAACCCAAGGCAGCCATATGATGTTAGTTTTATATGCATTTTAAAAAAATGTGGTGTGGTGTGTACCTCTTTTTGAGTGTGGTTTCCCTAACCCTAACAATATTTACCAATTGGCGTGTTGTGCGATTAAAATTATGCAAGCGGGCGGCAACCAGGAGGGCGGCCCCACAGAGGCCTGAAGGCCTTCTGCCGGCGTGTAACCAATCCTTTTTCATTCTAGATATGAGCCTCAGTGAGGTCATGACAACTTCGTGTGTTTTTTTACCTAGATTTAAAAAAAAACTTATTGCAAAAAGCAGTGATGAATGAATGTCGAATAACTAAAATTATTTATATTTTTTAATGTTTATGAATTCGAAAAATAAGGAACATATTAACAGGACAATGAAATGGGGTTCTGGGAACATGAGGTGATTAATCCTTATAATCAGTTTAATTGATGTTAAATATTTTTAAAAAAGTGAGTGAACAATGATAATAGAAAGGAGGGCAAAGAAATAAAGAATAGTAATAATTATTTTAAAGAAATCAACAAAATTTGACATTTTAATTTGAAGAAAAATTATATTCCGATTAATTAAAGTTTTTACTATATAAATAACTTACTAGTCCTAAGTTTCATATAACTATAAGATGCATGACTTTAAAAATTTTAATATGTTGGAAAACCTAATTAATTAAATTGAATAATCGATGATATGAATTAGTCTATATGAAAGCCCCTTAATTTTTTTTAGGGAAATAGACATAAATGAACTATTACAGGAGTGAATATTAGGTGATCCAACTAATCCTCTAGGATAATATTTTATATTCCATAATAGTCTTTCTTTTCTTAAAAATTAATACTCTTACCTAACTTACAATATTCTTTCTTTATTTTTTTTAGTGCAATTATTTCCATTTAAATAAATGTATCTAATATTAATATTTTATAGTAAAATAAAGGAAGAACATATTTTTTATCTCTCATAGGAAGATTTTTTATAAAGAAAAAAAATGAAACCTAATTCCAGCTTTTGAGCGAATCGTGGTATGTAAAGTGCCGGGTCAGTTACGGGAGCGTTGATGCATAACTCGGCCGATAGTTTTAGGTAATATTTACCCAAATCGTAAACTGAAACTGTTAAAGCATCCGAAAAGTCTAACAAGAGATGGCTTGTATTTTCGAGACGACATACCAAGTAGAGCAGGGCTCCATATATCATAGCTTGGCGACGGCCTCTCATGAAACCTGTTGAGATAAGGGGGAAAACAAATTCTATTAGTAGGCAAGTTACTGAGACATAAAATTTTGACCTATAGCAACAGATAAAATTAGATATATCACCTTCATTTTAAGTAAGGGCTGAGAAACAAAAACAACTAAAATTTAAAAATTCAAAATTATGCCTTTTGTTTTTAATTTCTGACGTAGCTTATACCTAGAATTAGTACTGAGAGGAGTGATAGACCCCCATAAGAGCCTCATCTAAGTCCATTAAAAAGTGAAACGAAATTTTAATTTGAAAAAAAATTCGCATTGTTTAATGATTATAATTAGATTTTATGGTCTATAATAAAAATGAATAAGGTTGCTGGTACCTTTAAACAGAGCCAATTTGTAGAAATTAAGCGCCGTTTCGAGACACGTGCTATTGATTTTGAGTCTTGCCGCCAGTCGCGTGAGATCGGATCTGGCCCTGGTTAAGGTATGTTGAGTGGAGCCTGATAACGATACGAAATTGGGCTTGGCTGAGGTTTGATTATTAGCATCATTACCGTGAGCGTTGTCGGCTGACATGGAGGAAGGATTGAGGAGAGCAGTAGCAAAACTGTTTGAATTACGAGAGCGAGAAGAAGTATGTATAATACCTTGGGTTGTTCAGTTACATTTCATAATAAATACAGATGCGTTAGTTTTTAAAATATCGAATCAGATCAGCTCGATAAAACAAAATATTTAAATAGCCTAAGACTTATCAATATGTATCATTTCAGCAATCCCCTGACTCACCTCTTGAAGTATTAACTCTTACTGGCAAGTTAATATTATACTGAGGTAAAAAAATTATGATATATGACACCTTTCAATCTAAATCCGTACCTTTCTTGAGTGCTTGGTTAAAATCGCAGAAAAAATATTTTTTAGATTTTTTAAACAAATTAACGAATTTTGTCAACCCTAGTATTTTATTTAAAACTAATACACTGTAAAATTTTTATCTATATATTTATCAGAGACCTGCAGATCCGGCCCTAAACCCGGGTAAAGGGCAGGGTCGTATATTAACTTTTTTATTTAAAAAAAATCTGGATTGGCGCGGGTCTAAACATATAAAACCAGGGCAGAGCGAAAAAAATTTTTTAAAAAAAATCCAGGTCGGGCCGTGCATATGGTACCTCTGCAGGTCTCTGATATTTAAAGTGTTAATATTTTTAATGACTACCAAGTGCTCAATTCTCAAAAGCAAGAACGCTTTGATAATGGCCTTAGCCTAAGAGATTTTAAATCATGTTAGGGTTCCAAACAATTCCCCTTCTCAGTGGCCACTACTACGGTGGGGGTACAAAGCAATTGCCATTTAAAATTTGAGGGGGGTATTTTACTATTTTTAAAAATTTTTTCAGGGATTCCAGGAAATATATGGTTATAAAAAAAATTCAAAAGAAATTGAATACAATAGATGCAATTTTAACAATTAACAAGTATGTATCCGTAAGAGGTCAGTTATATGTTCGAATATGTATCATTGTTAGTAAACCGGAATGATGATTGGATAGCACTTTTTTATATGTGGCTATATATATGCATAAGCGAGACCTAAAAGATTAAAGATTTTTATTTAGGTTACTTTGATGCTTAATGAGTAGGTTTAGAATAGTAAAACAATGGAAATTTTTTAAAGTAAATATTGCTGGCGTTATTTATCAAAATCTCTTCATTTTTGTTTTATACGTGTATATTTACGTGCTAAGCATTATTCTAAAAAATATTTTGAAAATAATTTGATTTGACCGATTGCCGAGTTCAAAACCGACCACTTATTAAATATTTGATTGATCAAATTTGCTATTAAGATAAATTGAAAAATGTTGATTTTTGTTTTATGTATCTATAAATACGTATAAAACATAATTCCAAAAAATATTTTAAAAATATCGTGATTTGACCCGAAAACCGACCGAATGACCAAATACTGCATTGCTGGCTTATCCATGGAAAAATCTTCATTTTTGTATTATACGCGTACGTGCTAAGCATTATCCTAAAAAATATTTTGAAAATAATTTGATTTGACTGATTGCCGAGCTCAAAACCCCACTTACTAAATATTCGATTGATAAAATTTACTAGTAATATGATTCGAAAAATGTTCATTTTTTGTTTTATATATCTATAATTACGAGTAAAACATATACGAGTCGGTTATCCGCCAAACCACGATATTTTTAAAATATTTTTTGGGATTATGTTTTATATGTATTTATAGATATATAAAACAAAAATGAACAATTTTCAAATTATATTACTAGTAAATTTGAATCTAGGAAAATAATTCCCCGGAAAAAAAATCCCGTGACCCGGATCTGCTCTGCAGTATTTAATTAAATAGAAATGTTTTTTAAAGTCAAATTTCTTCGAGGATTTGAGATTTTAAATAATAAAACGAAAGTTAAATAAATCTAGTTCACCTTTACACACTTTCATCAACTTTTAGGTATTTATTGAAAAATTATTTTTACACAAATTTTAATCATTTTTTTAGAAATATGATAAAAGGCTTTTCACAGTTTACTGACTCTTAAATAGCGCCCCTTTTTGTTTTTACAAGGATAAGCTATTAAATAATATAATTTTATAAATTTTGTGGCTAAATAGGAAATTAGCAATTCAATCTGATACCCTCTATTTGATAAATATTATTTTACTGAAGTATTTACCTACTTTAAGAATTTAACTGACTGAATACAAAATCACTATAAAACTTGCAAAATTATATTTTTTACTGCCCAATTTTAATTAAATACTGCCAAAAGTAATGAAAAATGCTGACCACTTTAATCAAAATACATCCAGAGGTGATTATCAGCAGTGAGTATTATATTTTTCTAATCTAACAATTATTATTTTGCTTATGAATTTTTTTCAAAAGTTACAGAAAAGAAATAATTATAATTTTATTAAATGATATATAGAATAATAAATTATATTATTCAAAAGAAACAATTCTAGAACGTATATGTTCTCCAATTGAAGAGAGAAAATTGGGCAAGTCCCTTCTCTCTTCTAAATAATCAATGCATAAATTTTTTAAAATAGTTTGTTTCGTTGCATAAATACGATTTTTTTTGGGAGTGTATGTCCCAATATTCCATTGGCCGATTTTTCCCATATCAACCGCTATTTCCATCCTTATTTTTTCGAGTAGTTCCCATATCTTCGGTTTTTTGTTGCCTACAATATGCTTAAATCGGTTATTCCATCCTTCACATACATTGTTTGTTCGATTTTCCCCAGCAATCGTAACATTGAACACATTCCATGTTTCTGGTGGGAACAATGGCTCTACTTGCCTTTGAGAGTTTTTCCCATGTCTCAATTCTCCATTCACATAATTTTTATCAAAATAAAACAATAATTCTTTGTTTTCATCCGATACAATGGTTTTTAAATACTCCATACCTCGTTTGACATCGTGTATAGGTAAGAATGCTAATCCATCGATCATAGCTGCAAATAAGCATAACATTGGATCATTCCGATATGATGATTCTAACCCCAATTCCTGAATCTTTCTATGAGTTGATTGAGTTAGATGATAAAAACATCCTTGGATGTTGATATCTCTACCTAAAAGTTGAAAAAATATAGATTAAAATTATTGTATAGGTTTTATTTAATATTTATGTCTTTATCAATTTTTATTAATTGTACTGTGTGACAAGAAAAATGGGAGAAAAAATAAATAAAAACAAGTTTTGGTGCAGAATTTGACATTGAGTTCGAATTCGTTTTCTAAGTTTTCCCTTCACGTCAAGTTTTAAAAATATTATCGTATAAAGGCAACTTTTCGAAATCTCAAAAATGGTAATACGGATATATTTTAAAAAGTATCAAATGAAAATCCCTGAAAATTGGTGATAGTGTTAGATTTATATTTCCTTATAAATTTATTAATTTTTATAATTTTTTATCGATTGCTTTTTGAGAAAAATGGTAAAGAATTTCGTTTTGGGGGGTCTTAAGTTTTCAATTTAAATTCCCGGCAAGAATCGTATAAATATGTTGGCGGACTACTGCTGGAGTATCTTTTTTGAAAATAAATCATCAACTTCATATTCGCGGAAATATATTTAGATTTACCATTAAATGTTTTATAATTTCAAATTTTATTATTTAATTTTGAAATTGAAATTTCCATGTACAAAAGTATTTTAAAATGTATGAAAAATCAAAATCCGCTTATAAATTCATAAGTTTAAATTGCAAAAAAATAATATCTTTATATAAATTTTTTTATAATTAATAGACCTTCATATATTTATAAATGTTGGTTTTTTTATATGCACAAATAAAATACATTATTATAACCAAAAAATATAAGATTTATTAATAAATCTTTTTAAAGTAATTTCTTTTCTGTAACTTTTGAAAAAAATTCATAAGCAAAATAATAATTGTTAGATTAGAAAAATATAATACTCACTGCTGATAATCACCTCTGGATGTATTTTGATTAAAGTGGTCAGCATTTTTCATTACTTTTGGCAGTATTTAATTAAAATTGGGCAGTAAAAAATATAATTTTGCAAGTTTTATAGTGATTTTGTATTCAGTCAGTTAAATTCTTAAAGTAGGTAAATACTTCAGTAAAATAATATTTATCAAATAGAGGGTATCAGATTGAATTGCTAATTTCCTATTTAGCCACAAAATTTATAAAATTATATTATTTAATAGCTTATCCTTGTAAAAACAAAAAGGGGCGCTATTTAAGAGTCAGTAAACTGTGAAAAGCCTTTTATCATATTTCTAAAAAAATGATTAAAATTTGTGTAAAAATAATTTTTCAATAAATACCTAAAAGTTGATGAAAGTGTGTAAAGGTGAACTAGATTTATTTAACTTTCGTTTTATTATTTAAAATCTCAAATCCTCGAAGAAATTTGACTTTAAAAAACATTTCTATTTAATTAAATACTGCAGAGCAGATCCGGGTCACGGGATTTTTTTTCCGGGGAATTATTTTCCTAGATTCAAATTTACTAGTAATATAATTTGAAAATTGTTCATTTTTGTTTTATATATCTATAAATACATATAAAACATAATCCCAAAAAATATTTTAAAAATATCGTGGTTTGGCGGATAACCGACTCGTATATGTTTTACTCGTAATTATAGATATATAAAACAAAAAATGAACATTTTTCGAATCATATTACTAGTAAATTTTATCAATCGAATATTTAGTAAGTGGGGTTTTGAGCTCGGCAATCAGTCAAATCAAATTATTTTCAAAATATTTTTTAGGATAATGCTTAGCACGTATACGCGTATAATACAAAAATGAAGATTTTTCCATGGATAACGCCAGCAATGCAGTATTTGGTCATTCGGTCGGTTTTCGGGTCAAATCACGATTATTTTCTCTAATAATTTATTGGAATTATGTTTAATACGTATCTCTATAGATACATAGAATAAAAATCAACATTTTTCAATTTATCTTAGTAGCAAATATGATCAGTCAAATATCTAATAAGTGGTCGGTTTTGAACTCGCAATCGGTCAAATCAAATTATTTTCAATATACGTTCTAGCATAATGCATAACACGCAAATATACACGTATAAAGCGAAAATGAAGAGCTTTCTGACGAATTAACGCCAGCTATATTTACTTTAAAGAATGTGCAATATTTTGCTATCCTAAGACCTACTCATTAAGCATCAAAGAAACCTAAAAAATAGTTTTAATTTATAGGTATTTCACATGTATATATAGGCCCAAATATGGAAAAAGTGCTGGCCAATCATCATTCCGGTTTCCTAAAATGATACATATTCGAGTGTATAACACCCTCTTACGGATATATATTTGTTAATTTTTAAGGTTGCATTAAATGTCCATTTGTTGTAATAAGCTATTTCATAGTAGAATTAAAGGACAATGATATCAATTGAGAAATCATTTAGTAAATTAAAAATTATAAAAATAGGCTGAGAGCTAATAATGACCAAGAAAAATTAGAAGCGTTTTAAATGTCAGTTGAATGAGAATTATTAGCATAGATTTAACTAGAAGATATTCCTGTATATTTGTGCAAAGGTTCAAAGTTAATGGAGAATTAACGTAAAAATTATATATTTTCTTTAAATTCTTTTATTAAAATCTTATTAATATTATTTACAATATGATCGGTGCCAGATTTTATAAAAGTGCAGCAATTTTATTCTCTGTAATAATGTATAACTGCAATAATTTTATATTTATAATAAATAGATTTAATATATTGAGTATGTATTTGTATTTTTTTTATATTTAACATCATGGTAATCTAATATAAAATATATATGAATATTATTTTATATAGGTAATGAATATGATTTTGGATGTGCATTTTTTAAAAATAAAATATATGATTATCGTATAATACTATTCTTTTTTTACTAAAAATGTAAATCGTTTGAACTTATTTTCAAAAAACAAGAAGTAATAAAAATTATGTTAATCAAAGAAGCCATTTAAGGGAACCCGGTCAAAGACCAGACAAAGTGGAATGAAGGCCCGCAAAATGGAAGTACAGGGGCAAAGTCCCCATATAAATGAGGCCACTATAAAAAATGCTCATGAGGCCATAGGGTTGCCAGTACACCCCTGTCGCATTGTCCTCTAGTATTAAAGGGAAAATATGGTAGGAGAAAAAGGGAGGATTATTATTATTAATAAATTGAACCTATACCATAATTTTATATGACACTAAACCTTGTCCAATATTATTTGCAGTTCAAATCCATCCGTAACCACTAAAAAAAGAAGTTCTACACATCTGTTATAAACAAATCATAGCCAATTTTAATTTGGCGTGATAATAAAAAATATAGAATATATTTCTTTAAAATTTTTCAACAAAATTCAAGGAAATTTATAGACTTTTAAATTTAATAATTATATTGTCAATTAATTATTAAATTGTTTTAAAATTCTTTCAAAGATTGCTTCTTAAATTCCTAAACTTATTATAGTAATTTTAATAAAAATAAATAATATTTACTTGTTCCACAATTATATTGGTTTAAAGTAAAATACATTTTAAAAAACATAGCTTTCATGTAGATGCTTTGTCAATGTATAAAGTATCAACCAGTTCAATTATAATTAGTGAAAAACTTATATCCAAAAGTAAAATAAATACCGTAATTTAAGAAATTATAAATACAAGTAAAAAATTTTGAAAACAAGATAAATTTATCTCACAGTCACAGCTGAATAATAAAATTACTAATATTGAAATTGCTATATTCATAATAAAATATACCATCTTCATTAATAAAAGTCCCTATTGCTGAAATCCCGCCATGATTATCTTCTTGAAAGCCTATTTCTGATACAATGAGAGTATCTTCAACAACAGATCCACAATTAATACATACCGAATCACCTCTACAATAGCATATTTATTAGAATTCAGTAATTACACTTACCGTGATGGTTCTGTGTCAATATCTGCAGATCCGCAATTAGGACAAGTCAGTGAAGATCTTTTAGAAGATTTAATTTCTGACATTATATTGTTGCAAAAAAAAATTTGAGTATAAAAATAGATTAAATGATTTAATAGAAAATAATAACATGTGTATTTTACGTGACAATATGACATTTATAAATGATTATTTAAATACAATTAAAAAATAAATAAAATAAATTTACGTTTATTATAATAAAGCCTATTATATTAGAAAAAAAATGTTATTTAATGATTATAATATGATACTGCTGACATATCATCTAAATAAGAGAGTAAACAACACCCCCTCCCCTTGTATTAATAAAATACAGATTATACATTATTTTGAAGAAATAGAAAAAGTTTTATGAATTATGAATTGCAAAGTATTTTATATCAAATAGAAGCTTGCAGGCGAGTAGCTAGGTGGCCACCACCGTAACAAATTTTTGAAAAATTATAAAAGTGTTAAGGCGAGTAGCTAACAATTGGGGGATAAATCCACCCCCCTCTACCCCCCACCTTAGCAACAATTATAGAAAATATATAAAAGGGATTTATGAATTGTTAATTGCAAAGTATTCCATTTCATATAGGTTCTATTCTATTTAAATATTAGTAAAAAGTTAAATTAATTAAATTATTTTTTTCTTATATATTGATATTTTATTTCACGAAAATTTAAATTTTATTTTCTTATATTTTTTCAAACATTGATGGATATAAGAAAATTTTCCCAACTAAAAATTTTTTAAATTAATTTATGATAAAATTTCTAGAGTGTATGAAATGTTCAGATATCCAAATATGCATAATTTGCTCTGGATATATTTTTACACTGAAAAATCAAGGTTATATATGTCAGGTCTATCTTCTGGTATTAAAGAAAATCATTTATATTAATTAATTATTAAAAAATATTAGACCGTTGATTATATATTTAAATATTCTTTCTATATTATTTACATTTAAATATTACTTTATATATACTTAAATATTATTCTTATATTAGTAGTTAACTATTGCATAAATTATCATTTAAATTTTTTATAAATTTATTCCCGATCCGTGATATATAGCGCATATGCCCTCTAACGTTGAATAAACAACAGAGCTACGCTAGGTTTTCCTCATTTCCATCTAATTGGAACATAAGTTTATTGGGGTGTAAAGTTAAAAAATATGAGGAGCCCTCTACACGTTTTTGGGCAAGCCACGTACTTTAACGCGCAGACATCCATAGGTTGTAAGAAAAGAGCGGGGCAGAAAAAGAGCCTATGCCCAAGAACTGCAGTATAAGTTAATTACTTTAAAGGTGGGTGGTGGCTGATTTTAAGTTTAAATTCTTTAGTGTAAGTCTTTATGTGCTATCAATATTGAGATTTAAGGTTCATAGAATCTGAAATAAAGATGATTAAATAAAAAAAATTTGCCTTGTCAGTATGATATAGTATTATTTTATGTTGATGATTTATCCATACAATACAGTATTACCCAACAAAATCTTCCAAAAATTAATTATTTTTTGGAAAGGAAGGAAAGGGAAGGAAGGAAAGGGAAGGAAGGAAAGAAGGGAAGGAAGGAAAGTTTAAAATTCAAGAAATAAAATGTCTATCCACCATCTTTGCTGTTTTTGTCGCAAATAAGATTTAACACATGATAACATTATGTTTAATTTATATACAATTACAAAGCCCAATGTTGAAGCATCTCACACAGCTTATATAATAGGAAATCTTATAATTATATTTGATTCATTATCTATAAATAATCTTCATAAATGTGTATGATATCTTATTATATATTTAACACCTATTATTAAGAGTGAAAATTATGGAGTACTTCAACCTATTACACTATTGGAATCTATAATAGTATAAATATCTTTTATAAAGTGAGAAATGTTTCTTATTTTAAGGACAAAAATATTGCTGAAGATCACCTTTTATTATTAACTAAAGAAGAAACATTATATCTATTATGCCAAAATTATCTTAATTTAATATATGATTCAAAATACCAGCTTACTCTTCCATATATGATAAGTAGCAACTCAATATATGATAGTATATATTCAAAAATGCAAAAATATAATAAACATAAATTGTACAAAAAACTGACATTTGGAGAAGCTTATGACTTATTTTCAGAATTTGATGACTCATTTATAGTTAAATATATTGTTTATTGTTATTTTAAAAGGCCAATTACACATATTTTTTCTTCTAATAAAATGAAAAAGAGTTGGGTTGTGAAACCTGGGATGAAATATGGTTCTGATTTTGGTAATTAATTCATCTTATACTTATGAATATATAGATATTTTAGCATTCCCCTTTTTATTTGTATCTACACATTGAGAAAGGTTGATTTTTTTTGGTGTGGGGGGGGGGGGTCTTCTACCTCAAACCCTGTTATGTCTGGATATTATAAAAAATATTATATATATTTTTCTATGGTTATTTTTATATTATCTCCATTAAAATTACCTGACAATTGGAATTACTAAATCTAAAATTGACATTGTTTTATGCTTTTCTGACTTTAATCAATATGGTAGTCAGCATAAATGAAATAAATATTATTAAAAATGGGCCCCTCACAATTAAAAATATTCTGAAAATTTTGTCAATGTTTAGTGTTCAATTATGATTTAATCCATTTGGTAGACAGTAGAAAGAAAAAAAATTGGCATTATGCTAGAATGAAAGTTATAAAAAAACATATCTTGCATGCATTAATATTTAGTGCATGACAAGTACTATTCATCAGTCAAATGTGAGAACCAAAAAATGAAAACGATGACATCACACTTTAAGAAATAAATAATTGTCAAAATAGCATCTGGCTAAAATGTGGATGTTATAGCTCTCTTGCTTATGGCAATATTTATGAATTCTTTAATTAAATTTACCATTAATCAAAAATTGTGATCGAATTACAAAGCATACAAGCTATGATATCACATCATAATTTAAAGCCATCCAAAGATATGGTAGCTTCATCTCTGATATTTTTAGCAATAATTAGTATGTATTTCATATTCTCTAGTGCTACAACCTGTTTGTTAGATAGATTAAACAAAAACATCATTAACAAAATAAAAATAAATTGTCAAGATTATCACATTAGAAGGAAAATTATTGAAGCAATGACAATATATAAGGCATGATTAGTACCTACTTAATTCATCAATCAGTTTTTCTAATCAGTAATAAAAATACCATTTATAGGTAAATTAAGAAATACACAGCACATATTTGTCCGAGTTTTAAATATCCAATTTATAATTCAAAAATTAATTATGTCTAAATTCATTAAAGTTTTTCCTTAATTCAAAATATTTTTGAATCTTATGATTCTATAATCTTTATAGATGTTGCTTGATCTTTTCATTGTATTTAATAGATACCTCACAATATAAATTATATTATTAAATTTATAATTAATTGTTTTTTTAAAAAAACTAAAAAATTATTGTCTATGCCACTATATCTATATAATAATATTTTAACAATCTTATTTTATATACAACTTGAGATAATATTAGTATCAGCCAATGCTTTCAATTTTAACTCATATCTGTGGCCATATCTTCTGGGCAAGGCAATAGTGGGTAAGTGCATTTTTTTAAAAAAATTCTTCCAAAGTTAAGGCCATGTTTATGTATCTTGCTACTCGTTAAATATTTTAAAAGAAGAAAGAAAGATATCTTATGGGATGTATCACTCCTTAGTATAGTTGGGTAATTACTAGTGCTGTAAACATTTCTAAAAAAATCGAACGCGTTCAACGTTCATTGACAAAAATCGAACGCGTTCACGTTCAAGTTCACTTTCAAAAAATAAGGAACACGTTCATGAATCGTTCAAAATTATGATAAATTTTCTAATATAAATAATGTCTTATATTTATTAACACAATATTAGCCATGTTAAAAAATAATATAGTTTTTTAATAAATAACAATATTTTTCATCTGATAGAAGGAATGCTTGGCAGTTAATACGGCATTAGCTATACTAAAAACGCGCTCAAGGGTAGATGAGGTGATTACGGTATTATACTTAATTAATAACTCTTTTAACGTGGGGAATTTATTAAAAACATTTATTGTTTTGTTATTTGCTTCAAAGAATTGAGATAAGTTATCCTCCTCCAATCCATTCTTTACTTCCTCGACAATAAAAAAGTATCTCGAAATTAACAGTTCTTGCATTATCATTTCTAGGGTTTTTAAAGCATTTTTTTCAATAACGCTATAAGTTTATTTTTAATAGGTTCGTTCTGTGGAAGTTTTATCCATGGCCATTGAAGCTTGATTACTGGATGTATAATTGCAGAAAGAACATATTGATCTTCATATATATGTTCAAATCTTAAAAAAATAAAATATATGTAATTAATTGAGAGTGACAGGTTTAATACCTTTTATTAATCCCATTTAATACGGCGTCTATCTATGGTTCATATTTGAGGCCACTAATTTTTTTTAATTTTAAAATAACTATCGTTATTGTTGGGGTCAAATATCCCAAATGCATTTTTTCTTCAAATTTAATGATTTAATATTACAATCAAATGTCGTTTTAAATTGGAACCTGGAGATTTTGACAATATAATACTTTTTGGGCACATTTTACACTTGGTGGCATTGAATTAGTTCCTTCAATATAGGATGTTACTGTAAAACATTTATCATATTTGGCCATGGTAATGATAATTCATCTGATTTTAGCTTTTAAGAATCAGATGATGGGGATTAAATAATAATATCCATGCTTATGCTAATCTATTAAATTAAAATACAAACAATAATTTCAAATTAATAAACTATGTGTTAAAAAAATTGAAATGTAAAGGAAATACGCAGCCGATTAAAAAATATAAATAATACTTTTTTAAAAAAAATTCGGAAATATTAAATTTTTCAAATAAATAAAAAGAAAAAGTATTTTTAAAATTGAACAAATGTTAAATTCTAACGCGTTCGTCATAAAAAAGGACGCGTTCACGTTCAAAGTTCGTCAAAAATAAAAGGAACGCCGTTCAACATTTTTTTCAAAAAACGAACTTCGTCGCGTTCGTTTACAACACATTACTATATTTTTAGCCGTTTAAACAAATTTTTAGCTGGCTAAACTTAGTTTTTGCCCGAAACTATCATTTTGGCCTATGGTTTTTTCTTAAAAATATGGCATACTCAAATGTGAAAAACTAATATAATTAAAACGCTTGAATGTTGACGTATTTTCTCCGGCAGACCTGTAGATTGAGCCGAATTAGCCGACATTTAACTATCGCCAAACTATTTTCAATAGTAATTTGATATATAAGTTATATCTTCTTTTTGTTGCAAATAATACAACAAAAATATAATAGCGCATTTTTTTGCAGTGTTGTTAAAATAGCACACCCTGTTTTAGTATCGATAGTTAATAGCACGCTCCTTTTTTTGCCAAAAAGTCAGTGCTAGAGCGCTAATTTTTTTTTTTTGAAAGAAGTGAAAAAATATAATGAATAAAAAAACGAAAATTAGTATTAATAGTTAATTATAATTTTCGAAATTTGTATTATAAAATCCAACCAACTGTCTAATAGGAAATACCTTAAATGCCTTTGAGCAAAAGAATCCTGAAATTTTTTTTTAAAGTAGGAAGATTTTTGATCAAATTTTACTTAAAAATTGCAATCTTTTTTAGTAAATATTTTTTTATGCCTATAAAAAAAGATAAAATCACAACTCATTTTTGAAAAGAATCTTCAAACATTTTTAATTATTTTCTAAAAAAAACATTTTTGATTTTATATTAAAAATATTTATAAAATTAAATGCTTCATTTTATCTCTGCAAGGGCTAGTGCTGACTATAGTAAGGCAAAACTTTTTCGGTTATTGCCCTCTAGACAGGAATGATAATATAGAAATTATTTTATTATTAAAACGTAAAAAAATAATATTACCATAAATAATTATTTTAATTACAGTAATTTTAGCTACATTTTTTATATAAATTCTTTTATAATCAAAAACTATTAAAACATATAAAAAGTATGTTGCTAATAGCTCGCTATTATTAATTTTTCAAAAGAAGCGAAAGCGCGCTAATTATAAGTAAGGTAGGTTTAACAACACTGATTTATTTCCTTTTTTAAAAATAATTCAATACATTTTAAACATTACAAATGAATTAAATTTGATTCCTTTTATTCATTTATTAATAATTATTAGAAAATTTAAAAAAATGTATACAAGCATGGAACCCTGAGAAGGGTATCAAATTTTGAGAAACCAAAATGAGTCCTAATTATGATTTAATTAATATGTTATCTTTATCTTCCCAGCATTCTTCAGTTTTCTCCCTAAAAAAATCTTACGTTATTTATTTTTAAATAGTAATTCTCTTCATTCTTTTTTTTGTCTGGTAGTTTTATACGAGGACGGAGGGCCAGAATTTTATCACGCTCGTTATTCCGTTTTAGTCAAGCACCATAAAATACCGAAATTTGTGAACTCCAAAGAATATAATTTCCACGATAAGTGTCTAGATCCATTCCGATTCCTATCCTTGAAATCCTTAGGTGCTCGCATAAGGGTAACGATTTCCGCCGGAAAAAGTTTCATTCTAGCTTTAGTCATTGAATACGTTGACGCGGTTTCCCTCAAGAAATCATTTTCCACTTCCCATCTCGATTACCTATCCAAATTTTACGGAAAAGACGCGGATGATTGCCATATCGTCTGTACTGGCCAGGAAATGTTCGACCGAAATGCGAGCATGTCTGATAACATGTTAGACCCTTTCCATCGAAATAAATATCGTGACGATAGTCGCTTCATAAATTCCCGAAATTTGAATGAAGACCAAGCCGACGCGTTGATACGAAAAATCTCGGACCTCAATTTTGCCATCGATAACCATCATTCTCTATTTCGCATACCTAAGTACAAAGTTATTCCTTTAATCGTCGATAGATGGGATCCAAAGGCGCATGTTAATACATGACGTTGGGAAAATTATTACATTATACTATGTTTTAGTCGCGATTAGTATTTTATTATATATTTTGTAATATTGAAGTTTTTGAATTGCGTAATTAATAAATTATTTTACATCATGTACATTGTTATAGTTTTAAACTTAAGATATTGACGTGAAGAATTTTTTTATATAACTACTTTTTAAAAAAATAATGCTTTTATATTAATGATTTAAAGTTTTTTTTATTAATTGGGTGGTGTTAAATCTTAATTTATGCCATAATAATTTATAATAATTACACGTTGTTTAACAGACGGAATTCGTAATATTGTACTTTATAGCGTGGATAGCTTCATGCTACTCCAATAATTCTAGCAACCATGGAAACATTTCAACTCCTAAACATATCCGTAGAAGGCAATTATATTCGATGATTCAAGCTTTGGATCTTAATACTACCGCTATAAATTTATCCTTTTTGACACGCGATGTAAAAGTAATTAGTGGGTACTTGGCAGAAATACATTGCTGTAAGGGTTTCTATTATATCCTTGGAAGGGGATCTAGAAATTGTTTCTGTGTTCATTGTTATTGGGACTTTTTTGAAGAAATTTACAAGTTGCATGTCAAATGTTATTTTTTGCCATCGGGTATTTTATATTCCATACAAAAAATATTTATTGATTTAGTTCACGTAGATACTCTTTTGTTCTCTTTTAGTGACAATATTATTATAACTGCGTTAGAGATGGTGCCTATTACATTGAATCTTTACAAAACAATTATAAACCAACCAGATAATGATTACAAAAGATTTCTTAATGCTTCTAACATATCTCCGCAAACTAATTACGCCATTATCCCTCCTATATTTTTATATCCCTACCCATGGATTCAAGATTTATATCTAAATAATTGCAGAGTGAAAGAATTTCACGAAGGTGCATTGCGCATTTGCTATTATTTGGCGTTTCTGGATTTGAGTAATAATTTAATTAATTCTTTAGATAGTTTAACATTCGTTAATTGCTTTTTTCTCGAAATTGTCTTGTTACATGGAAATTTAATCCAGACCATTGAATCGTTTTTAGTTCTATACTTTTTGAGAATTGAAGAGATATATGTAACCTTGTACGATAATCCTTTTAAGTGTGACTGCTATTTTACCCAATACCTTTGTGACTTTAATGAATATTTTTATAAAAGTTCACGACTCAGCACATTAACTATCCATCGCTCCAAACAATTATACCATAACCTTTCTTTCCCCCTATTTACCTCCTGTTCGAATGAAAGAAAAAAATGTCGCAGCATAAATTCGCTGACACGTGACTGGAATTCCACATGTGTCCCCGAATTAAGGGCGCAATACACGATTCCGGGATCATGCTGGAACATGTATTTTTATCAATATTCTATCCCTCAAATACCTGAAATACTTATTAAGCAATATAAACTTCAAAAATATGCAACCTTATTTCTCAAATCTTTAGATGATTATGAAAAAAAATTGGAATTTTCCCGAGATAGAAATATATGTAAATACCGTGATAAATCTACGTATGACTTCCGGATAACCTTTTATGAGGAAGATTATACCGATATGAATAATTTTAAAGAAAAATTAGGTCAACGACATAACTTGCTCTTTCAAACCATAACAAAATTTGTGAAAAAAAGATCCCAGTATTTTTGGCGTAATTGGTTAATATTTATAATACCAGTTGTCTTAGGCTTAGGTACTCCATTGGTGTTTTTGATTATATTATTTAGAATATATCGATATATAACAATATTTAAACTCAGTTAACTTTATTTCTATACGTTATTTTTATCGGATTGCATTTATATATGTATTTTTTTAAAATAAAAATAATAAATTTTATATATAATATTCTTTGCGAATTTTTTTTGTCATAATAATCGTTATATTATAGAGCTTACTAAAAAGTTTCATCACTATTTTTTTAACCTTGGGGAACTCTAAATTTTGCCGAGGATAAGCCCTTTGTTTCCTGACGAATATGCTTATATTGTCGTACCTTTAAATAATTGATCGCAATTTAAAAATAAATTGCTATATATGTTGAATAAATATATATAATTTTATAAAAAAAAATATGACTATAAAATAAAAGTGCAAGAAAAGATTTTCTAAAAATGACTAATTTTTGTTTAATTTAAAAAATGCATTGCCCAAAAAAGTATAAATTATATAATTAAGAGATGAGATAATCTTTTCTTTAATTGACATTTGTCAGAATTAAATCAATTTATAACATCATTATCATATCAATTATTGGATTTTAAAAGGTTATTAATCTTAATTATAATCACAATATATAGTCTATATTACAACTAAAAGTTAAAAATTACCCCCCCCCCCCAAAAAAAATAAATAAAATTCCACAATATTTGGAGGTATTTGTCATACGTGCACGCTGCATGTTTTGTGAAATTAAAGTAATCATGGTAAATCATATAACACGGTCGATGTATAAATTTTTTTTTTAAAAAGTATTCATTTTTGAATAAACTTTTTTAAAAAAATATGCAATTTGTATACATAAAAAATAAAGGCTGGGAATTCCTAACCTCGAAAATCTGATTTTTCGTTAAACTTTGAGCCAATCTGGGCATTAAAATTTGATAATTTTTTTTAATTTTAAGTTAATATAATGATTTTGATTAATACTATTTGAAAATAAATTACAATATGCTTATTTCTTTAATATTTTAAAAGCTGTCAAATTAAATCTCTAAATAAAATTGTAAATTTACAAAAAACAAGTTATTTATGATCAAATACACAACTCAGATATATAAAACGATTATAGAAATAGATAGGCATTAGAGATATAAGAGCCGTAATTGACGTCAAGATAAATTAATTTTGTAGACCATGAAAAATGTTCCAGCCGAAAAATTCGTTAAAAAAAATTAAACGGTCGGGCTTGACTTTTTATAAAATTTCAACCAGCCCTGCTGGGAAATTAGTGAAAATAAAATTTCTGGCCTGAAAAGAAATAACTGGCCGAGCAACAGTGCAAAAAATCTTGCAAGGCCAAGCTGTGCAGATAGATCTCTGATCTATATTCATTTTATTTATCTATTTGCATTTAAAAAATATTCATAACATATTTTCAGGCGCGTACGCAGGATTTTTTTTATAAAGGGGGGAAAGGGGTAATTAAATTAAACATTTAAAAATTGATCTATAATTTGAAATTATATTTTAAAAAATTATGGGCGCCTTCAGAGTGGAAATTGTTTAATTTTTTAAAAAATTATGGGCGCCTTCAGAGTGGAAATTGTTTAATTTTTTAAAATAAAGTTTGCTCATTCATACTTTGTCTAAAGTCAATTTTATAAATTTTGAAAAATAATGGGGAAAATTAAAAACAATGACAGATGCCTTTGCATTCAATGCAAACATTGAAACGATAGATTTCTCATAGACACTGCCAAATCGACATTAGGCTTGACAAGGAGAGGCAAATCATACAAAGAGAACTATGGTGGTGGAATGAAGAGGTATAAGCTCACTAAATAGGAAAAAAAAGCTCTATATAAAATATGGTACAAATCCAAAAACCCAGATGACAAGACAAATTACAAAAAATCCAAGAGAATAGGTACAAAAGCGGTGGCTAGGGCCAAAGCTGTGGCATACGATGACATGTATGAAGAACTACATACCAAAGAAGGGCAAAATAAAATATACAGATTAGCCAAACAGCGAGAAGAGAATTCTAGGGATATAAACGGAGCTCCGAAAGTAATCAAAAATAAAGATGGGAAATTGATAATAAAGGAAAAAGAAATAATTAATAGATGGAAAGAATATTTTCAGGAGCTTCTCAACTTTCATCCCCACATACTACATCTAGATGAACACTCCCCATGTCCAAACCTTGTACAACCAATAACAACAAGAAATAATCACATGCCTCAAGCATATGAAAAACAACAAGTACAGATGATATTCTGTCCTCACAAATCTGTACAATTAAATATTTGAAAATGAGATTTCTCATAAATGGAGGCTAAGCTATTTAGTTCCTATTTTCAAAAATAAAGGGGATCCATACGATTGTCAAAATTATAGGGGCATAAAACTAATGTCACACTGTCTTAAACTCAAAGATAATAGGAAAAAGGTTAAGAGACATAATCGAAATAGGAGAGACTAAGTTTGGCTTTATGCCTGGAAGATCAACGACTGATGCAATCCACACCATTAGGCAAATGAGTGAAAAATACAGGGAAAAGAACAAAAAGCTAAACATGGTCTTTCTCGATCTAGAAAAGGCCTTCGATAGAATCCAAAGAAAACTTATCTGGTGGGCGCTACGCCCCAAAAAGGTTCCAGAAAAATATATAAGAATAATATAGGATATGTATATGGACCATATAACAATGGTCCGTAGCCCAACAGGTACATCAGCAGGCTTCACAATAGCCGAGGGAGTTCATCAAGGGTCGGCACTCAGCCCACTTCTCTTCATTACAGTAATAGATGTATTATCACAGTCTATACTTCAAACAGTCCCTTGGAATATTATTTGCAGATGATATTGTGATACTTGCCGAATCCAAGGATGAAATGAAAGAAAGATTAGTGAGTTGGATAAATACAAGAAACACGGACTAAATGTAAATAGAGAAAAGACAGAGTATATGGTGATAGGGGGAGATGAAACAAAGAGCATTGATATAAATGAATGGCAGATATTAGCAATTAAAAGCTGCAAATATTTGGGCTCTACTATACAAATAAACGGCACAATGGATAAAGATTAAAATTAATCAAGGGTGGTTAAAGTGGAGATCTTTATCTGGAGTGCTCTTTGACAAAAGAATCCCACACAAATTGAAGGGAAAAATTTACAGCTTCATATTACAACCAACTATTCTATATAGTTCGGAAACATGGTCAACCAAAGAATCAGACGAAAGAAGTTTACAAACTATGGAGATGAGAATGCTGGGGTAACAAGAAAGGAAAAAGTGCGCAGTTCAAGAATATTAGAAAGTTTAAAGGTAGTGCCCATTAAGACTGATAATGGTAAACAGACGTAGGTAATATGGGCACACAGTGAGAAG